ATTGGATGTTTTTTGTTGTTTATTTGGAGCATTGAGCTATACATATAAAACAGCTGAGGAAACTGGACAACTAGACTTTGATAAAAATGATAAGGAATTATATTGGACGGTGTACCAGTGATAGTCAAGCACCTCGATATCATTGTATGAACCTACATTCTACATTAGATATAAACCCAGTGTACCGGACCGCTTTTAATTTCAGTAAAGAAACAGATACAAGGGAAAGTTGACGTCGCCTAGAAAATGAGAGGAAAAGAGAGTGAAAGAGAAAAGAGAGAGAGAGAGAGAAAGGCAGTGAGGAAAATATCACGACGAAGCAAATTGAGTAGAAAGAAACGAAAGGTCGTGTATAGATTCATTGAAGCGGAGATGTCTTCGAGGAGGACGGAATCCGCTCGGTCCTCGAAGAGCACAGATTCAACTTGTCTCGTGGCTTGGAGAACGGGAAGAACCGAAATGAGGGAAGGGGAACCGCCTTACCACGTTTTCTTTTGATCATCGGACACCGGGATTCCTCGCATTTTCAAGAACGAAGATCCGCGAACGCACGCACACGCGCCTGCACATCATTGTTCTTTCTACTTTCGCTCACGAGTTGTACGTAGACGAGGATCGATTGATTTTAGTCAGAATGAAAAGATCGCCTTGAACGTCGCCAGTCCGCGAACTAGAGACCCTCTAACTTTAATCAGGATTACGAAATAACATTCACGCGTTTACTTTCTGCCTGGAATATATTTCGATGACAGGACGAAATGTTAAATTAATGCATCGTATAAGAAACGATGTATTGTTAAAGACTCGTGTCTATCGTTTGAGGTACAAGTTAATACGATTGGGTGAACCTTGTAATTATAACTACGCAGTTCGAGGGTTTCCAATAAAAATCAGGTCGAGCAATGATCGGTCAAATTTAAACCCGATTCCTATGCGTTTCGATCTCGACTTTGCCTCTCGTTCAACAATTTCAATTTTGAGGCGAGCCGAACCGAAAAATGTCTCGCGATTTGATAATTTCCGGAACAACTGGCGCACGTTCCACGGCCGGGTCTCGTTATTTCCGGGCTCAGCCCCCGACGAGCCTAGTCGCGTCGACAGAGATTGTTGGTCGATCGAGTTTCGTTCGCCTTGTTCCTCATGAACATCCATTCGCTTTCGTTTCTTGGTACAAACAATTTCAACGTTTCCTGTTTCGATGAACAGAAAATATACTATTTTAGAAAAAGAAATGAGAAGGATCTTTGAGTGAAAACGTGAACAAATGATTTATTACTTATGAGCTATCCGTCTGGTTAGATAAGACATAATTTATTTCTTGTCTAACCAGCCCAAACCACCATATAAAAAATAATTCATTTCTTATCTATTGTAATTATACAAATTCTAAATTCTTTGAAGAGTTTCACTAAATTCAAGGCATTCGGGAAATTGAGCAACGCGAGAGAGTCGAAATCGATCAGCCTCTGTGTGACGGTTTCTTCTACGGAGTCTCTTAACTCGCTAGATTAATAATTAAGCAAATACAGTTAAGGACACGCGAGATGCGAAGATGACCGATGAATTTTGTTGGGGATGTCGTGACGAGGGAGGTCAAGCGTCATAGGCATCGCGAATCGATAGGGCGATACGGATGAAAAAATGTCGCCCAGCAGCAGGTCGATTTGGTTTTTCTAAAACCGGTGAGGGACGCAGGATAGGTCGTCGTTAAAACGAACGTTTCTCCAACTTCCTGTCGAGCGTGCACGTACCTTCGCGTAGTTTCAATAATGTAAGATGATACCCTCGTTCTTTCAAAACTCGTCGATCACGTCGAGTTTTCGTTTCTTTTTTCGTAATTCGTATATTTATCGTAGCCAATTTGGACTGAGGCGATGGATCGATCGTGGAGATCGTCGCCGTCCCTTCGCGTTCCATTCGAAGCCTCCGTACAGTCGTATACACCGAATTTAATATTGTATGGAAACCTTCGATTGAAAGGACGGCAAGAAATGAATCGACGGATCCACGATCGACCCAGTTCCGCTTCGAACGATGGAAACATCTAGTTAGAACTGTCGAAGGAATCTCCTGTATGACGACAGGTTTCGCGTGATATCGGTGTATTAATTTAAATGGGCGACGCTGTAAATAATCATCATGGCGCGAGGAGAAGTCTTCTCTTGTCTGTAATTAACTTTGTAATTAATTGTAAACGATCTAACGAGCGTGAACGAGCAAAATAAAATGAATCGCAGAGACGACAAGCGAGACGAGGAGAAAATAATATAAATACAGAAGGAAAGGAATATATTATATATAGATATATATATATAAATATGAAGATATTGAAGATACAGCTATAAGCTATATTGTACACGTACATACATACGTACACATAAGTACTTACACGCACATACGAGCGCAAGGGAATATGTAAAGAAGTACGTCTGGACGTAGGACGAGTAATAGCGGAGGAACACACGTACATATTTTATTAAACATACACACAGACACACACACACACACACACATGTATACACGGACACGCGTACACGCACGCAAGTGCGTGCACGCGTTTGCAGCACCCTCGCGTCGCGCAATAAAACAAATTCTAAATCAACTTTCAAACTAGAATGTGTGCCTGAGTGAGTGGGAGATCGACGCCCGTGAGTCATCGAGCCATCAGCGCCTTTTTTAAAACTCGCGTTAAGTTTAGACGGGAAAGCTTGCCCGACCCGACGATGAAACGACTATCCATGACCGAAGGCTGCGTCTCATCAATTTCTATATCGACAAATTGAACCTCTTGCTTCTTTTTTTAGAAACAGCTAGGTCGGAATTTTCGAAGATTGATATCGTAAACTGGAACTTCCTCAGACGTTTCAAATCCTCGATAGTTTAAATGCGTGGCTGGAAGACAGGCAACGATTAAATTCGTATTTTATTATTTCTTCCACGAATGAAGCAACAGTTTGATGCTCCGTTTTAGACGTGGGTACGAGTTGAACGAATACGTTCATACGTGCATAACTCTGTTTCGCATACGAGCTTAACGCGATCCTCGGTGCCGGCACGTGGATCGGTGACTCATAGACGGAAAAATAACGTATAAGTGATTATAAGTCTAAATAAGAGAAACAAGAAAATAAAATTATTATATTATATGATCGTAGAGGTAATCGTGAGTAATGTGTCGGGGCCCTTGTCGTATCGCGAGATCGCCCATTAAAAGTAAACAAAGATTTATGAAGTATAGAAACCGAGATAAAGAGGAACCGTGCGCACGCGAGAGAGGGAGACAAAGAGAGAATGAATGAGTGAATAAATAAATGAATGAACAAATGGATGAATGGAAAGAAGAGGAAGCAGGATTGTATGTAGATATGATAAAATCGTACTAGAGGAACGGTGGCTCGAGCTTAATCCGAATTTTTTAAATACAATAACATAATTTTCTCCGATTACTGTAATAATAAACTCATCAGATTTTCATTATTACAGCAACTCATCGACGTACGTTATATTTTTTATTTTACTCTTAAATTAAAAATTCGAATAGAAGAGAAATCTGAAGAGAAGAGAAATTAAAAAGAAAAAGAAAATTTACTTATTATAAATTTACATAACTGTCCGGGTTGAGTTTCGACGCCACGTTGCCTTCTCGAGCACAAGAATGTTCGTGGAGGTCAAAAGTAAAAGATGAAACGAGGAAGCATAAGTATAGGGAAAAAAAAGAAGGCATAGATAGAGAGACTATTAAACGAAACAGATGAAATCAGTAGAAGTTTACTTCAAGATTAGTTTAATGAGAATTAATTAAGCTGTGGTTGTTGTCAAGTTGTCGCGCCTAGCTTCCGGCTCGCGAACATTTTCTACTCGGTCCTCGAATTTCAACAGAATCGTGGATTTTCGTAGGATTTAAAACATACTAAATAAATACTCACGTGTCTCTCAGGCAACATTTCAAGATATTACAGCAACTCATCGACGTACGTTATATTTTTTATTTTACTCTTAAATTAAAAATTCGAATAGAAGAGAAATCTGAAGAGAAGAGAAATTAAAAAGAAAAAGAAAATTTACTTATTATAAATTTACATAACTGTCCGGGTTGAGTTTCGACGCCACGTTGCCTTCTCGAGCACAAGAATGTTCGTGGAGGTCAAAAGTAAAAGATGAAACGAGGAAGCATAAGTATAGGGAAAAAAAAGAAGGCATAGATAGAGAGACTATTAAACGAAACAGATGAAATCAGTAGAAGTTTACTTCAAGATTAGTTTAATGAGAATTAATTAAGCTGTGGTTGTTGTCAAGTTGTCGCGCCTAGCTTCCGGCTCGCGAACATTTTCTACTCGGTCCTCGAATTTCAACAGAATCGTGGATTTTCGTAGGATTTAAAACATACTAAATAAATACTCACGTGTCTCTCAGGCAACATTTCAAGAATACGGTTTTATATTTTTCATCAGTTAATTCTAATCTTTGTTAAGAATAATTGACCTTATAAAGATCTGGCATTTTATTTTATGGGGAATCTTCGATTTAATTTTTTCATCGTTTCTTATCAATGAAAATAAAAAATTGAATAGCAAAATAATGAATCCATCGGTTTTAAATTAAACAATTTAGTGATGTTAGTTAAAAAAGCAATATTTCTCTTCTCATAAATGAAAATGAAACAATTAAATTAACAAACGTTGCATTTGGTCGTTCGGATGATTTTGTCGTTCGAACACGTAGATACGAACAGTAGATCGGGGAGAGAGCATGAGCGATTGTCGGAAGCAGGGGATACGAATAAAACGGAAGTCTTTCAATTCATACTACCGTACTGCCAATTTTTCCGATGCGAAGCGTAATAAATCTCGTTTAATAAGAATTTCAAGAGACGAGGCGAACAACCGCGACGAGCGATTCCGAGCGTTTCGTCCATCGTTCCCTCTCGTCGCTCCGAAGTCCTGACGGAGGACTCTCCCTCGATGTTCACGGAGGGACACGTCGACGCCGGGAAACGGCCCGCTCCTCTCCTAATTTTAATAACATTCGCAAAACGAACTGAAATAACCAATCGATACTTATCCGTCCCTCGCGTCAATTTGTCTCGACAACATTTGTTCTCCTACCACGCAATTGACGAACTTACCTCAAGCTCTTATACGCAATACTCCAAAAAGGTTTTCTTAATACTCTCAAGGGAAAGACACGAGATGGGTTGAAGTACTCCCACTTCGTTTCCCTATCAATTTATGAACAAAGGCGGTGGCCCCGTGCTCCAGGCTTGTCTCTCCGGTGGACGTGCTCTTACGAAGAAGAAACAGATCCCTTTTGTAATCAGGACACCGTCCAGAGGACCTGCGAGCGTAGCAGGATCGACCATGATGTTCCTGACACGCTCGATGACCGCGATTTAAGACGATTCACGCCTTTCGACCGGCAGACGGGAGGGAGGCCTCGCCTCCCGGCATTTTCCTACACTTTCCTAACGCGGGACGAATAGGCGAAGCGAAGAAAGTAGAGTCTCGAAGGAAAATACGAGACGGTAGGATGCATCGCGCGAGCGTCTACCTTCGCGATGCATTCGACCGACGATTCGTAGAAGCGGACACGTAAAAGGACGTACACATGTATTTGTCTCTCCGTTCAGGAGCCTCGGGGTTACGCACCGCGTTATCGTGTTTGGCAATAACGATATTTTTAATCGTACAATTGTGTAAAAAATGCGAGTGTAAAGCGAGAAGTAGCGAGGAGCAGATGAACAAATAAGTAAACAAGAGAGAGAGAGAGAGAGAATGAGAGAGATCTATCAATAAAATTAAATATACGTAATAAGAGTGAACGGAGAATGAAGAAATGGTGGAAAGGTAGTTGGGAAAGATTTATCGAGAGCGGTCAAGCGCCGGCACGTTGTAACGAGTACACACCCGAACATAGTTGTAACTAGAAAAACGGGGTGAAGGCGTTTTTAGCCAATGGTGTTGTCCGTCTTCGGTAGCTTCCACGCCTTACTCAAAACTGATCAATAAATTAAAATTCATATTAAAATAGCCGTTACCTTCATTCAATCCGCTCGCAATTTTATCTCGACGTCTAATCGAATTAATTTCTCCCTGGACGTATCAGTTGATCTTATGAACTTCAACGTCAACCATCTGAAGTTCTATGCACACTTTTTACACCACTGACGTCGAATCAAGAGCGAACCGAAACAGTACGACTCTCTTTTATGTGATCCAGGCATGGGCAATTAGTTTACAAGCAAGTGTTGAAATAATAATAATACTAATTTTATTTTGGGTTATAGTTCAACTGAATTTATATGCTCTAAGGCGTCCAACGTGCCTACCTTAGCTCACGTTCAAGACCGTGACTCCTGAGAGAAACTTTTGCCCATGCCTGAATTGTAATCCATGAAATCTATCCTGTAACTATCGTTTTATATTTTATGATTGAATAACTGAACGGATGTTCGAGGACAACGTTAAAAGCCCGTTTCCATCGTTTATGAGACTGCGTCGAGTCCGACTGTAAAAATACGATCAAGCCTCAGGGAGTTATTCTCTTCCATTTTCGAATACCATAACCAAATCCCCGAAAGAAACCGTGGATATTAATTAGCGTTTGCGCGTGGTCTAAAGACCGCAACGGTTGCAAAGGTGGCACTGACGCAGCTATTTACGCGAGTGATTCATTCGCGTGTACATATGTAAAACATGTACATGAGAGAAAACGTGCCCTCGTTAGCCATTAGGTGGTTTCAGCCGGGCGCCATGGTGTTTGTTGGCCGCGATGCGAATGCGATTCCGACCCAGGATTTATCGTTAAACCGTGGATACCGTCCCAGCCATATTTTCGAATATTTAGCCCATAAATATACGTATATACACAAATTAATTGATCTTCTGTGTAATCGAATTTACCGCATGAATGTAATAGTAGATTATTTCTTATAAGAATTCATTATTTCGTCCTCGTTTCATTTCTCATGATCGAAAAAAAATCCGACTCGAGATTTTGGAACAGTAGTAATGATAATTAATGTGTCAAATCTTGATAACGTCGTTCGCGTGCTAATTTCGTCTTCCCGTGGCCAGGCGAAATTCGGATCTGGGTCACCGTGTCGGATAGAATATTTTTATGAGAGCGGTTCGAAATTTGGACGGTCCTTTCTTGCTCTTCGGTCGGGAATACGATTTTAATTGAAACGCGTCACAGTTTCCGATTATTCCTGACACAGGAATAGGAAGCGGGCGACAGGAGCAGTGGAATTCGTTGGTGGATGCTGTCGAACGGGGCCCGCAATTATCGAAACTGTTCTTCAGAATCACCAACCGAGTATATTGATTCGTGTTATATTTTCGACGCGAATCCTTCGCGTTACACCTGAAAGTAGGGAATAATTATTTCGGTGTCTTCTCGGTTTTGCGTCCGCCTCGGGTTGCCGGATTCCATTAACGATCGGTCGGGCTTCTCGTTAACTAAATTGTCGACGGAAAATCGATAGTTAATTACGAAAATGAAGGGATCCGGTTAAGGGCGACAAAGCAGAGAGAGAGAGAGAGCGGAAGAGTGAGGAGAACAGTATCCTCTCAATCCTATCGCGAATCGCGATCGATCATGAAAACCTAGGTGGATTTTGAATGGCGTAGATAATTACCGACTCTAGGGTTCTTCATCGTAGGGTCCGTTCCTCCTCTCTCGTCCAAAATACGTAAGCAAAGCATGTAGAATAATAAATTGAGCGCGGGAACGGTCTACTGAAAGGGACGCAGGATTCGTAATAGGACGAGGAAATAAAAAATTTTCTGTAACGGACCACCGGCCGCGTTTAAGGGGTGAGAAAGGGTTAAATCGTCGAAACGCGACGGAGCACAAAGAGTTCCCGCGGCTAAAAACTCGTCCGCGGAGTAAACAGGGATAAAGCGAGATGAGAGAGAAGAGAAGCAAATGGTGGCCGGGTGGGGCGAACGAAAACTATCTTCGTTGCGAGAGCGCACAATGCTTCTCTCAGGATAAAATGCCATGATTAAAAACTCTCGCGCCTCTAACGCATTGCCGCACGTAGACATTCACGACGTACTTCACGTACACGTGCATAGGCCCACGCGGTGCATTATTGTCGCAGCTTCCGGTGTGTTCGGTCGCGTTTTCGTTTTCATCGTTTCTCTCTCCGTCGGCAAACAAAAGCTTGGTACAGCGGGCGTAATAGACGCGGCGAGAGCGAAAAGAACTTTCGTGGTGGAAGAGGGACGGCGGTATCCATTTTCGAGGAGTGAAACGACCTCAAGTGGCGCGTGCCGTTGCCCGAAAACGGATCGCCCGGGGAAAAGAGTTGCTGAACAAATTGCTCTCGTTCGGACCCACGGGAGAATGAGACGACAAGGGAGAAAGGTTACGTATACATAGTAGGTTAAACATGTAGGAGGTACGGTACAAAGATGGAGCGATCTCACTCGGTCTGACCAATATCGAAGGGATTAATGAACCGGAAACAATAAGCTGGGTCTTGGTGAACTGAGCAGAAACTGGTAATTTCGCGTTATTCCCTAGTCTGTTCCAGATTTAACGATAACTTACTCGGTCGATCAAATTATTGGAAATTCCAGTCGCCAATTCGATGTGCAGTAGCAAAGTCGCGGAACAATGAAATTCGTGCGACGTACATTCGTAAGGCCGTGGAGAGTATATTAGAAAGAAAGTGTTCTCGGGGATTATCAAAGCTAAAAGGCGGAGGGGAACGGGACGGGCGAGCGCGGATACGTGGGACGAGTCGTCGGCGCGACGACGCGTTGTTTTAATTAAGCGACAGTGGAGGTAGAAAAAGGGGAGAAAGTGGAGCATCTTTTCGTGGTAAGCTTGTGTGTTGCGTCCCGTGAAAAGCGGGAGACACCCGGCCCGGTTCATTCGGTCGCGTCACGTCACAATTAAAGCCACCTTACGCGTGGATTTAATTATTCTCCGCGAGCGACCGCGCGTTCTTGCCAATTAATTACCGGCGTCCGTTTACCGCCGAGATACTCGCCGTTGCACTGCTGGAAGTGCCTCGGCGATCCATAGACCCGGGACGAGAGACAGCGTCATCCCTTTGTCGTACACTCTTCAACCATACGCTTTCTCCTTTTGCTCTCTGACATCTCCTAGATAAACCTACACCTACGCCAAAGAATCCTTCCTCGTCGCACTGTTCCAGTTTTTGAGCTACGCCAAGCGTTTGTTCATTCGTGCGAGGATGATGTACCGAGGTCTGCTTTCTCGATTTCTACATACCTTCATAACTCCTTGACACTAGTTCATTTCGAGCTAATTCTCGTTAAGGAGTTAATTGTCATACGCGGGAGCCTTTTCATCTGTAATAGCTTTTCTAGATTCTTTGATACTGAAATAATAGCAAGGTCGACCAAGAATCTAGGCTGCAGCTGTCAACCTTGAGGTGGACGTGGCTTGTCAAGGGAAGCCGTTGGACTTTGGAAGAACTGCCTAGGTAGTAACTCCGTCGACTGATGAAAAAATAAACGAACTATTTCATAAATTATGTCTTTTTCATTTTCCTTTCCCTGACAATATTTTTTACTAGAGAATTTCCTTGATGGGAATATTAAGGTCCATATTTAGCCGACATGCTCATAATGAACAATTTTATCTATAAAATGGAATCCCTTAATAGGAATATCGAGGCTTTTCTCCTTTCAGAAGTATTAATCTTTTCAATACCAAAACCAAGCTTATTCGGATCCTCATAACAAATTATACATATGTAGATATCAACCCTTAATTCAGCACCCTCATAATGAAGTACAGATGCATATAAATCTATTCGTAAAGAGAAAGCTTACTCGCTTGATAAAGAAAGAGTTGATACTCTTTTTATTTGTATTTAGAATTCTTTGTGATCGTACATTTAAGTGCCTTCCGCGAAGAATATCACGCATGATTGAACAGCCCGCGTTTACGTTCTTAGATATCGAATGCAAAATTCGAACAGCACTTTTATAGCCGATAAACTTTTATCCCTAGAGTATATAAGTGTATTACTTCCGAATCGTTTCATTCTGAATGAAATAATATTTCTGTTCCAAGTTTCAATTTCAAATCACATTTCGCGAGAACTGTTAGTCGATTTTGAGTCGAAGAATGTGGAGAACGCGGGTTTCAAGAATTCAATGCGAAAGTGTTTAGCGGGGAAGGAAGTGGAAACGGAGACAGAGAACGGTTTAAAATAAAAATGACTTATGACGAATAAAACGTTAGATTGGTTCTTGAACGCGATACAACGAGTGAGTACATATACAGTCGTCCGATCAGATGTCGCATCGTCGGAGGAATCTTAACTTAAAGACTTAATCGCTAGGATGCTCTTACTCATTAATCGTCCGTCGTCGACGCTGCGTAATAATCTCCAGAATATATTATATAAAAGGCACTGAAAATTCTTCTATAACGGACGTATGCATTGTAGAAAGACCGTTCGGTTGATTCTCGTTCGATCTTCCGTCAATTGTTACATTCTATCTCGTCCCTCCAATCAAGTACTTCAGAAAAAAAAACAATTGTATTCTCATTACTTATATCTTATATTTTTATAAACGATATTCAAGATGATCGCGTCAATGTTTTTAGGATATAAATCTTGTTTTTATGCGGTAGTGGATGATGGGAATGTTTAACGACGGTGGAACGAGAATTGGGGTTCAATGGTGGCGGCGATCCTTCATTCTGGTTTTTCTCTCTTCTCTCCTTGCCTCTTACAAGAAGGTGCTCCAGTAGACCACGTTCAGGATGAGGAAGGAGAACGGGAAGAAGAATCTGGACACCTTGTCGATGTAGATCGCCGTGGCCCGGCCCTGGCAGCAGGTGTCGTATTGCACGGTCACAGGTCTCACAGGACTTCTGCTCCTCTCGGAATCATTTCTCATCGGCGTCTGGTTTCAAAGGAAAGAATCATTACTCTTAATCAGACGTCAGAAATATTGCAAATTTAATACCACTTTCCCGTTGCGGTACATCCATGATCACGAAGATCGAGATTTTTATTAAAAAAAAATTGGGAAAATATTATTTCACAAATCGTGTATGATTTAAATAAGAAATTGAAATCAATTGAAGTTTCTGTTGTTAGATCTCGAGGCTCCGTTAACAAGATTAACGATTGGAAAATTTAGAGGGAGAAACTTGGAACAGTTCATCTTGCCGGAGCCAACTTTCAGCCAAGTTCGTTTCGAGAGCAATTTTGAAAACTTTCATTTTGTTTGGGGCAAACTAATTTCGTCCGTGAGATAACGTTTGTTTCCGTGCCTCGCGAAGGAAAAACGCGTCTTACCCTGTTCAAGCTGCTTGTTATCTTCTACAATTGTACGTCCGTTTTAATTTTACCCTCTCGCTGTTACTTGTCGTTTTAACAGCGTTTCTCCGATTTAGAATTATTTCAAATTTAGAGCCACTATAATTTTTATGGTCGAGGAGGAGGGAGACAAATGTTTTCAAGCGATGAGGACTTCTTACCACCCCACGAAAACGGTACGTACATATAAATTATCCTTTCCAATGGTTTCAGAATCGCCGTTTTCAAATGCTCATAATTAGGTCAGAATTTCTTTGGACTATAAGAGTTCAATTAACTGGCGTACAACTGGATGAATGCACGATAATTTAAATTCAATTTCGCTCGGGCTTCCCTTTTAAACAGTCCCGATCCGAGCCGACCAATTTCGAGCCGCCTCTACTAAAATCATGTCCCGCTTCTTCCGGCTGACGCACGACGACCCATAATTAACGTTTAATTTTATGAAACGGCTCGAAATTAACGGCGCACTGCTCGCGAAACGTGCCACGTGTCGTGGATATATTTTTTCTGCCGAAAGGAAAGCGACTCGACTCGCGAAACACATCCGAACACGTTTTACCGGATACGTAAAAAATTTTTAATGCACGTTTACTTTCGCGGAAATGCACGGAAAGTTCAAAGGTTTACCGCACGTTGAATTCGAGGTATAGCGAAAATTGTTAATTAAAGCTCCAGCTTGTGTAAGCCTCGAATCCGGCTTGTTATTACCGTGTTAATGAATAATTAGCCACGATCGTGGAAACAGTTTGCACAGCTCGGAAAATTTGAAGCCAGAATTATTCACGCTGTTCCTTTTTCACCGAAGTTCTAATCCCTGAATCTTTAAGCTCGTAAACGTATCCGCAACAATCCCCGTTAATCTGCGTTCCTTCTGCATTTTTTCCTCCATTTATCTTTTATTCAATGAATTTTTTACGTGGTAAGAAGGTTGTCAGGTGTGGTTCTTGCCCCGCGTTAATTAAAGTCCTGCCACTTTCTAGCTACTCACGTTGTACTTTTAAGTGTGTCAGGTGTTACCAAGGTGTCATTCTTACACCGGGTGTTTCTACGCTTTGTCCCCCGCTGTATTTTAATAGATTTTCTCCCACTCGTTTCTAAACGGTGAATAAAGACTAGGGAACGACGGCCATTTTTTCTCTTTATATCTGACAATATTCCCTTTGCGCTCATTGTAACGCGTTGTAAAGACGGAATATCGGTCATGCTTGCATCAACTTTTAGGATTCACGTAGTCCTCTAGGAAACAACGGCTACCGTTTATTATTACCTCTGGAATGTTTAACATTCGTAATTGTAAGCTCGAGATGCATTGTATAATTTCCCGGTTGAATACGAAATGAGACCGCACAGCGCTGTCAAGCCGCGAACAATTCCATGAATTGTGCCACGAAAACGGATTGAACGTGCACGCAAGTGTCAATATTTTGTAATACTATGGAATACTGGCACTCTGTTCCTCAATTTTTCTCTATATTTATAAAATATTTATTTTATTCATAAAAATAGTAAAATTCTTGACTTAATCCTATGTTCTTTCCCTAATTATCTTTTTATTCATAAAAAATAATGAAACTCTTGAATTAGAATAACTGTACCATGGCCCTATGTTGCTCAATTAATTCGATGTTTTTTGCTCAGTTATAATTTTATTAATAAAAATAGTGAAATTATTGAGTTAGGATGACTGTACTTTTAATCAGGCGTTTAGAGTACATAAAAAATTAATTTTATGGTACGAGACAGTCCACATTGTGGAATCAGATTTTATCGCTGCTGTTTGTGCGCGATTTTAAGAACAAATGATTAAAGTACAGTCGCCCTGTCTCCCTTTAGATTGTCGAGAAGAATGCGTACTTTGAACTCGTCGATGGCTTCCCTGAGATCCTCGTCCGAGTAACCTTTCATAGCTTTGGTGGCTACTGGGCCCATGTAGTTGTTCACCACGGCGAATTCCATCAGCGATAGGAATACAAACACGCTGCACGATGACATCCACACGTCGATGGCCTTCACGTACGAGACCGGTGGCAGTGATTGCTGGGACTGCGTGTTCTGAGTCGCTGCGCATCAAACAAGCCAAACAGTTTCTCTATTCGCTTGGTTAACTTCTTGGATTCCGTGGATCTAAACTACCCTCTCTGTGCTAATATTGAAACGTCGAACTTCCGTATTGTTATCGATCTTCGATTACCTCATCAAAGTATTTGTAGTATCATATAAGTATGATACAGTT